GCCTCAAAGAACACCGGCCGCTCCTAACCAGACCAGACCAGATCAGACCGTCAGTGACATTCCTCCAGGTCTCCTTTTATGTCAGCTGTTCCTAATACTTGTGTACAAACACTCTTCACTACTCATTGTACCTAGTGTATAATATCAATACAACAAGCTGTTATATTGCACTTTTGTATTACAGATACGTGTAGTTACTGGCTGGTTAGTCCAATATATTGAATGTACGGAGGTTAAATGTTACATCGCATTTCACGTCAAATATAAGGGGGCGAATACACAATTGTTTGGGGCACCTGACATAAGGCTATTGGGTCTCATCCAACAAGCACGAAACCTTTTGCACTAGTATTGAGATTGGTTTTTAGATGAGTATTTTCGGGTTGTTTTAGCATTAAATCGAGTATAGATATGCGTATACATAGATATAAATATATCCTATACTATTCCTATCATTTGTGTTTAACTGGTGCTGTAGTGACACTTTTCTCCATCACCCTTACGGCCTGTTTGTCTCTTGGGCTCATGTTTATTACGTCTTAAAGCTGTCAAGAACAAGAACGAACATGCGAGATTACAAACCACAAGTCAAACACTACATCTATTGTGGTTACTGGCATTTCGGTTCTCCAGCTACATTGCGGGCTTGACACTTTTACATAGATCCGACACGTGAAGGAGCTCGTGAGCGTTTCTGACAGCACCGATTAGAGATTCTCACCTGGAGATCTCCAGGCCTTGTGTTGAGTACACTAGGATCTCCCCACCTTTAAAAGCACATTTTGAGGCCTTTTACTAATCTTTGGAGTACAAACAACAAGTTTGATGCTGAGGGCAGTTTGTACTTGTTTTTAAAGTTACTGTCAATTGTAAATGCACTTTCCCTTTTATCCCACAAACTTTTGTCCCCTTGACTTTATATTTGTAATTGGTTACAAGTGTTTCTTGAAAATACTCCACCTTTTTTTTGCCATTAAAAATTAAATATTCTTAAATATTCTTTCATTTTCATCGAATACTATTGCAAAATACTTCTATCTAACAAAAAAAGCCCCAAATATGTTTATATGCCAGTAAATGTTAAATTGAGCCTTTGAGTTCGGGTCTTTAGGGGTTTGGATGAGAGTCGAGATGAAGAAAAAGCCTTACTTCTACATTGGTTTCTTCATCGATATAAATTAGATGTCAACAGGGTTGCTACAAAAAAAACATACAAAAAAAGAAGTGCTGCTTAAATCACTGAGAAGTATGTCATAGTGGTGATCCCTAGTTTTTTAGCTTTACTTTTTTTATTCGAAAGGAAAAATCTTTTACCCAAAAGTAAACTATTGTGTAGGCCTAGCTACCCATTGCACTGACTGTATCGAAGTCCTGTAATCAAACATGGTAGTCGCCCCTTTCCAAATGACTCACCTGTATTTAAGGTTTAAAAAAACTGAACAGTGTTTCCAAAATGTGGTTGTATACTTTTTTATGGCCTTAAAATGTTTTTTTTTTCTTTTGTTATGCTTTTCACCCTATTTTATACAGTAATGCTCCTGATCCTTGTACTGTTTATTTATATGCAGTTACTCAGTCCTCCAGTCCAGTGGAGATCTTTTTGGTTACTTTTTTTTTTTTTTTACTTTTCAGGTTTGTATATTTTTCGTTTTAATAAATAAATCACTTGTCAATCCTTCCAAAAATGTACTGTATTTTTTGATGTTATAGACAAGAACTGGTAAAATGGCCAAAATTATAATTCCATATTATTTTGTATTAAACATACTATACAAAACACTACAAGTTTAAAAACTAAATAAAATTAATCATTTTAAATGCCAGATGTGCATTTAGGCATCACAACATTATAATGCACCGTATGAAAAATGTCTATTCAAAAGACTACATTTAACAGTATTAAGTTTATAGTGTTTTTAAAGATTAACCGGTATCTGCTGATAACAGATGTAAAATAATACAACTGTTCATTGTTAGTTCATGTTAGCACAGGTACATTAATATTACCAGATGATGATTTTAATAATGTGTTAGTATATATTAATATGGATTTTTTTTTTTGGTCAGTTAATGTTAACTAATGTTAGCAAATGAAACTTTATTGTTAGTGTTATATATTTTAAACGCTTTTTGATTTCAGTATTTTTTTTTAAGCAATTAATACTTTTATTCAGCAAGCATGCATTAGCATTAAAAATGCAATAATCACATTAAAAAGTGATTGTACTTTTACAGTGCTACGAAATTTTTTTTTGTATATTCTGTTCTTTTGATCGTTCTATTTATCAAACAAAATCTTTAATGTTTCTTGGTTTCCACAAAAAGCAGCATAACTGTTGTCAAAACTACGAAATATTTCTTGAGCACCAAATCAACATTTTTATTTTTAATAGTAATAATTTATCACAGTATAACAGTTATACTGTATTGTGGAACTTTTCAATCATCCCTTGTTCTTGAAGTCATTTCTTATCAAAACCCATACAGTCAGACTTTACTCTTCCTTTTAAACCTTCAATCTCATTGTCTTCATTTCACTGCAGTTACTATGATAACTCCGTATTTTTCCCAGAGGTAACAGGGTTTGAGAGCAACAGCTTGCTGTACGGGAGCCTGTAAATTCTGTGACCACAGATGGTCCAAATGTTCCCAGCTATTTTTATATCAGAGACTCTGTGAAATTGTTGGTGGAAGATATTTGCCTATGATATGAAATATCAGTCCAACACTGAGACTGTCTTTGAGACCCGTCTTATTTCAAGGTATATTTATTTTATTTCAGAGTCTTTCAATCTGCTCAATAATGTCATATACAAAAATGAGCTCCGCATTACAAATTCATGCAACATACATCAGTGATATTAGCAGGAACACTGTAACATGTTTATTATATAATTCTGATGCAATAGGTAATATGAAAAATTGTAGCATATATTGAGTTGATTTTTTATATTGGGAAAGAATAAAACAAAAATCACAGTGCTAACAGTCTGAATGAGCTGTTCTCTAGGCTGAGCACAAACAGTGTTCTATAAGGCTCCAAAATCCTCATCTCAAAGTGTTGCATTTAGCCATGAAGAAACATCTGGCTGGTCTTCAGCACTCTTTCTGTCTGGGCCTTGATGTAAAACAGGTTTTCATTTCCAGAAACCAACTTAAACGAGTGCGTTTGCCATCTGTGGCCACTAGGGGGCCTGTGTGTCGCTGTCGTCTGAGCTTTTGAGTGGCTCTGTTTCTGGGAGGCCCACGAGGGCTGTGTCAGCATGTACTTCCTCCTCATCTGACTGGACCAGTGGAGAGTCTCCGCTGCAGCTTTCCTCGCTGGCATCCTCTTCATCCGGACCCTCGGTCACACCGCTGATGGTGTCGGTGCAGGAGGATGAGATGGAGGAGACGGTGTGCCGTAGCTCTGTCTGTGAGGGCACCTTCAGGCTGATCTCTGAGGGGGATGAGCCAGGTTCCAGAGCCGGGCCACCTGCTGAACAGACAGAACAAGATTATAATGTGTCACGCCATCTATTTCAGAATATGAATTAGTCCTGAAGTGCAGTCGTAACCTTGAATACTTACATGCTATGAGAGACAGTAAGAATCTAATGTGTTCACAGTCATTCTACT